GGGAGGGGGGTTGCATCCCCACCAGGGGGCAGAGGGGGCACAGCCCAGGCCTGGTGCCCAGGTTTGACCCACTCCTTTGTTTTCCAGATCTCAGAACTGGAAGGAAACCTGCAAACACTGAGAAACTCCAATTCTACTTAAGCGGAATCATTCCTTGACCAGACAATAATTAATCCCCTTCTGACTGTCCTCGATACCCCACCCCTCCCCCTACCAGCCTGGGGACAGGTGCCCCGAATCCCCCCACCCCTTCACCCCACCTCCCCCAGCTTCAGGGACCAGAGGGCCCATACACAGGCCCCCTTAAGGTGGCCCGGGCAGATAGAGGTGGCTGGAAGGGCGGCCTTCTCCTTGCCCCATGGGGCTGAGGCACAGAGGCCAAGGGATGCTGTGGGCTGACCTGGGCAGTGGATGGACACAAAGGACTTGCAGACCAAACTGCCAGACTTTACAACCTCCAGCCTTTGTCTCTGGACTGGAATGGGGCTGGGGCTCTCCCAGCATCTCACCAACTGGAGGCTGCTCCCTGCCCATGGGGCACTGGGTGGCCCCTGGGCCTCTTGACTTGAGATTCTACCTTCTTGGCCCTTCCCTCTCCCCCCATCATTGTGCTGTCTCTGTTGCATTCTGATCCTCCTGCTTGGGGGGTTGCCTCAACACCTCCTCCCATTCTGTCCCCTGTCCCTGGAGGGATAGAGTCTACCCCAGAGGCTGGGCCTGGCCCTGCACCGATTTCCTATGTATCCTTCCAGAAAAGGGGAGTGATTGTAGGAAAAATGGAGAGTTCAGGACACCTGGTCCCTGACTCCTCCTTTCCTGGGGCAGCAGCCCTCAATTTCTCCTTGTGCCTCCCCTCCCCCAGGTGCCAAATAGCCATAACCTCCTCCTGGAACTGTCTGCTGCCTCTCTCTGGTCCAGGTTTCCTGGCCAAGCCTGGGAATGCCAGGGAGGAGAGGAGGTCAGCTTAGGGGGCCTGGCTACAGAGACCCTGGTCTTAGGCGAGGGTAACATTTCTCCCTGGAGAGCCAAGCCTGGCTCTGCCCTGTCCGGCCTGCCCTGGGGGACACCTGGAAGCCTTTTACTAACATCGCAGAGATTCAGCCTCAACCACCCCCTCCCAACTGTTTTCCAATGTTTTGACCGGAGGGCAAAATTTTACTACTTCTTGTCTTCTTGGAGACCAGGGCTGCCCTGCTGGCAGCCTGCCTTCTAAGTGGAATTGATGTTGTTTCCCACTTTAACCCCGAATTGGGGCTTGGACCAAGGGAGGTGAGACCCCCCTCAGGTCCCCTCCCCTTTCAGAATCCATCTCATCTTGCCGCTTCTTCATGCCGTGCCCAAGCCTGGGTTTTTGTTCATTTTTTAAAAACAACGCCGTCCCATCCGTTTTGGCTTCTCCTTGTCCCTGTAAATAGACCATGCCATCGATCAGTATTTCTTGCCCCCCTCCCTCCTTCCCCCAGACGTGCCCCCACCCCCTGAAAGCTGGCTGTCTCAGTGCCCGGCCCATGCCCTTCACCCTGGCTGATCGAGGGGCGGGGCCGGTGGGCGGGGCCGCGGGGCGCTTCCGGCTTCCCGCCGGCGGCCGCCCCTGCGCAGCCTTCCGGAGGACCGCGTCTCTGTACATAATATATATATGTATGTATTGTTCCCGGTTTTGTACGGACCATGCCCTCTGTCAGGTCGTCCCCATAAAAGCAGCCCCCAGAGCCTCGCTGCCTGGTTTCTTGATTCGCTGGAGCCCGGCGGGGGGCGGGGAGGGGTCCCCTCCCATCAGCTCTGCCTCGGACCATGAAGGTCTTTCCACGGAGTTACCCGGTTCGGGCGAACTGCCTGTCTGCCACCATTCCACCCCTCAGCACCCGTGCTTTTTGTCCAGTCCTCCTGGGCAGGGCTGGAAGTTTCTAGAGAGTTCCTTCGGTTAGTCGCATTCCTTTTTCAAAGCCCCGAAGGAATTCAGAGGATGGGCTAGACAGGGCAAGAGGAACCCTAAATCCCTCCCCTGAGAAGTCCTCTTAAACTATGAGCTCCAGGAAGGATCCAAGGTTTCCCAGAGGGGGCAGGAGCTGGTGGGATGTGACATGTCAGGGCAGTTTTGTCCCCAGGGTCCTAGAGGATCTGTTCTGTTTGCCCCTCTCATGGCACTCTGAGAGTCCTTAAATAGCCCTGGCCCCCTGCTCTGTGCCAGCAGGTCTGGCTGCTGACTCACCAGCTCTAATACTAATGGATCTGGGTGTCTAGATGCCAGGGTTCCAGGGACAGCTTTGGTGAAGTCCCAGAGTGGCAAGAGCCAGCTGGGGATAGAGTGGAAGGAAGCTTAGGGGTGGTCCCAGCGCCAGGCTTTCCTGTCTGGGTACTATGTGCAAATGGGAGAGTGGAGCACACACAGGGCGCTTGTGTCTACTTGGCCTCAAGAGGATTCTCGCCTTCCCCTCCCTTTGCCATAAGGAATGGAAGTCCCAACTTCAGGGCCCTTGAAGGTCACCTTATGAGTCCTTGACAATATCCAAGATGAGTAGGCCGAACTCCCAGTGAGAGTCAGCTCTGGAGGCAGCTGCTCCCTGTGGATGGCTCAGTCACACAGGTCCCATGCATGTCAAGCCGAATTCTGGGTTCCCATAAGGACCCCTCAGAAGTCCTAGTTCTACACCTCAGGGCATGTACTCCTGCTACCCACCCGAGGGTGACCTGGGAACCTGAGGATGGTGACTGCCTCTGAAGGCATCTCCTCCAAGTAGATCATCCTTGGAGCGCTCTGGGAGCCCTGAGGATGCTGAAGACAGAGCCAGGTGGCGGAGTCCCAAGATCAGAGACCACCAAACCATGGGGCCACAGGTCATAGCTCCAGAGTTAGAAGTCACTGAGGCTCTGTTCCAGAAACCTGGCCAAGATGTCCCAAGAAGTGAAGTGGCTGGACCTTCCTGGGTGGGAGGCAGGCATGAGGGTTGGGTGTGGCTTCTGCTGGGCTGACAGGCTAAGCATCCAAGGTGGGGTCCCACTGCCCCCATCTGATCTGTGTCTCAAGTGAGGGTCTTATATATACATGACATGTCCCAAAAGGTGGGCCAACTATCTCCGTCATACTTGGGGCTGATGTGTGGCTGGGGGTGTTGTTTGCTGTGAGTTTCTCAGGCCTGAGGTATAACTTGCCTGTGACATACAGTACGTCCATGTTTGGGGCTATGTCACATGGTTGTGGGCAGGCCTGTGTGAGGCTTGTCACCTCAGCCCTTCCCCCACCCGCATCACCTGCACACTTTTGGTAGCCTGAGTAGGTTCGCCAGGGTCCCAACACTTGCCATGGGTAGGGAAATTTTCTCAAGTCCTAGAAGCTTAGGCCTCCCTAGGAACAGTGGCTCCTTCCAGGTCCAGTGACCTAGCAGATGCCCTCCCACAGATTCCCCTGTCCCCAGCACTGACCTTACATACCATCGTCTCCCCAGCCCCTGGGATCTGCAAGAGCTGTGTAATCAACCCCCACATAGCTCGTCACTCAGATCTCACTAGATGCCTGCAAACCACATCCTCTTTAAAGACCCCAGACATAGCCCCTACAGGCTGTCACCAGAGATGCCACCTCCTCCCCAGATCTCCACAATGTAGCTGGCACCATGTGGCTGCCTGTAGATTCTGAAGACACCCAGAGACCCCCAAACTCTCCCAGATCTCCATGGATATCCTCAGCCCCTGAGGCTTATTATAATAATTCTGTCCTCGCTCACAGTCCCAAGATCATCCTGGCTCCACATGCCACTTGCCACAGGGCTTCCGTCTGCAGAGTCCCCCGAACCATCAAGGGAACTCCATCCCCACAGACTCCACCCTCTCCCAGCGTCAGTACTTGCTCATGAACAAACCACTTTCCTTCCTTTAAGTCTTTGTTTTCCTGGAGGTGGTGGGTAACAGAAACACCTACTTTGTGGGTTTATTGTGCGGGTGACAATAAATAATTGGAGAGTGCCTGGCACATCCCAAGCTGTGCCCTGTGGCAGTAGTTGTTGGTTCTCACAGTATGTCCCCTAGCTGGCCTGCCACCACCTCCAGCTTAGCAGGGCCAAGTCTGATCTCATCCTTCTCCACCCCCACTGTGCTCTGGGGCTACCTGCCTCAAGTCTAGCCCATCCCCAGATCCTGTCAATTTCTTCAGTTCGACGTCCTGAGTAGTTCTCAACTTGATCTTTAATCTTCATGTCCACTGTCATCATCTCTCCACAGCTTCCGGAGGGGTCCCCTGCCTTCAGGCCGCCCTTCTGCAGTCCTTACTCCACTGAGCGGCCAAAGAGAGCTTCCTAGACGCAAATCTGAGTCCCTCCCTCTCCTGTTAATTTTTTTCCGTGGCTAGTAGAATACAGTGCGACCCCTCCGCCCTGCGCCTCCCAGATTCATCTCATCTCCTGCTCTTGCCCACCCACCCCCACGGCCCGCTGACACTCGCCCCTCCCCTGGCCTGCAGGGGTAGCCAACACATCGCCCCCAGCCTCAGCCACCCTCCCTGCCCACCCACCCTCGCCGCCTCGCGGCCCCAGGCCAGGCGCCCTAGCGTGCGCTCTCCCCTCCAGCGCCGAAGTGTCCTCTGTGAACAGGCCCGCGGCCCCCAGCTTGTGAGGGTCCCCACTCGTCCGTGCCCCTGACTGCACCGCCAGCCCCTCCGGCCTGGGAGCCCCGGCTGCTCGGTGGACGTTTGCTGAGTGAATGAATGAATCAGGAGCCCTCACAGACCTGGCAGAGGAGGCGGAAGCCCCGTGGGTCCCAAGGCGGGGCCGTCTCCCCAGCCGCTCCCACCCGCGCAGACTCGGGTGCGCCGCGTCTCCGCGGGCCGAGAAGTAGCGGCAACTCGGATCCCCCAGCCCGGCCGCCGCGCCGGCCGCCTCCGCCCCCTGCGTCCTCCCGCTGCCTCCGCCCCCTCCTTCCCCTCCCTCCCGCTCTTTGTCTCCGGGGCGCCCGGCCTCCCCGCCACGCGCCCCCCGCATCGCCCCTTCCCCCGGGGACTCCCGCGGACCCCGGCTGACCCGAGGCGGCGCGAGTCGGCCCGCCAGGCAGGGGGCCCAGCGTCCCGCCAGGCCTGGCAGGCGTGGGCGGGGCGGGAGGTGGCGCTCCCTCTCCCGCTCTCCCTCCCCCTCGCGCGTGTGCACACACACACACACACACACACACGCACACACACACACACACGCACGCACACACACACCGAGCATCCTCCCGTCAGGTCTCCCCGTCCAGCCCCGCCCGCGCCTCCTGCTTCCAGCAAACCTTCTCCCTCTCTCCGCACCCTGCCCCCGCCCTCCATTCCCTCCGGCTCCCGGACCCTCCCCTCCGACCCCCACCCGACCCCGGTGATGGAGCAGCTGGAGCCAGCCCGGAGCCCCCCGCGGCCGGGGTGACCGTGCTCCCGCCCCTCTCCCGCCCGGCCCTCGCCTCGAGCACCATGGGCCTGAGGGGTTCCCGGGGCGCCGGACGCTGAAGATGACCGATGCTGGAGGTGAGGGGCCAGGCCCCCTGGGGTGGACCGGGAATTGGGGCTGGGGGCCACTTGGGCTCGCGGTGGGGACCCCAAGTGAGGTTGGTGGGGCCAAGCGACATGGGCCTTTCTTCCCCTATCCCTAGGGGGACCACCCAGGGCTGGGGTGCTGGGCTGTCAGGGGAGGGGGCGGAGATAGGATTTGTGTCCCTAATCCCCTCCCTCCAGCCGGACGCCCGGAGAAATTAATAAAAAGCTGGTGTAGGGGGAGGGGGATAGGGCTTAACTCTTTCTTGCCTGGCGCAGAGTTGAACAGATGGATTGGAGAGAAACTAGCCACTGGGCTCTGATTGGGAAGAGGGGTCCTGGGAGTGGAGTAGGTGCCCCGTCCCCTATCTCCACCCTATCTCATCTCTAGCTGCGCTTTAAAGGGGCGCCTCACTCTTGCAGACTGCCCCAAGCCTAGTAGTGCCTGAGGAAGGCAGGCCCTAAGGGGAGGGGGCACAGCCTCTCCAGCTCCACAACCGCCTCCCGCGCTCCCAGCCTCTCTCCCGTCCATCTCTTCCTGCTCTTTCCCAGTTTCACTTCTCTCTTGGTCTGTTTCTCCTTTTCCAGAGCCCCTTTCCTGTTGCCTGCCCTGCTCTCCTTGAACCCCACCCTTGGGCCTCACTCAGGGCCACGGAAGCCCCCTCTTTGATCTCTTTCTTGGTCTTTCTTCTCAGCAGCCCTGTGGACTCCCCGCCAACCTGTGTGTGTGCTCCAGTCTGTTCCTACTCCCCTCCTGCTCCTTCCCCAGGGCTTGGGCACCCTTTCTTTTTCTTTCTCCTTCCCTTGGGTCCCAGGAAGCTATGAGCTCACCTGCCCCATCCCTTTCTGCCAGAGAAGGGTCAAAGGTCATCAGTGCTCCTCCTCTGGGAATTGGAAGCCTTGGGGGAAGGGATGGCCTGCTAAGGCAGAGCCCAGAGGGTGTCCAGAGGAAAGGGTTCCTCTCCACCCCATGCAGCTACCACCTGGTTGCATGTATGTGCGTGAGTGTGTGTGTGTGTGTGTGTGTGTGTGTGTGTGTAGGATGGGGTGTGGGGTTCAGTGTCTAATTATCCAAGGCTCAGTTTGGAAGGAGAGGATTGAGTGGAAGGAGCCTGGTGACTCCCTAGATAGCCTACTTTCCCGGAGTTCCCCATGGGACAGTGTAGGCAGGGTCCCCCATACACACCCCAGGAAGTTAGTTCTTGAAGGGTAGGAAAGAAAGCCGTTTGTGCTGAATCAGGATAGATTGAGAGTAGGTATGAGCTGGAAACCCTATCCCAGCCCAGAGGGTGCCTGAAAGAGACTGTATGCAGGAGAAGCTCTGGGCCCTGGACTGGAGCTTTGCATAAAGAACCCGTGGGGGCCAGGTGTGTTGGTTCATGCTGGTAATCCCAGCACTTTGGGAGGCTAAGACGGGAGGATCTCATGAGGCCAGGAGTTTGAGACCAGCCTGGGCAACATAGCAAGACCCTGTATCTACAAAAAAATTTTAAAAATTAACCAGGCTTGGTGGCATGCAACTGTGGTCTAGCTACTCAGGAGGCTGAGGCAAGAGGATCGTTTGAGCCCAGGAGTTCGAGGTTAGTGTGATCTGTGATTGTGCCACTGCACTCTAGCATGAGTGATAGAGCCAGAGCCTGTCTCTTAAAAAAAAAAAATTGGCTTGGGATCTCCATTTTTAGTAGTCAGAGGAGAGAAGGCAGCACTGCTCCCTTCAGAGAGGCTCCATTCTGATGGCAGAGGCAGTTCCTACCTTCACAGGGTCCCTAGTGTGACTGAAGAACTATGACCCCTCTCTTCTCAGGGAGCTTCCCATCCAATGGGGGATAGATAAGCCCCATTTAGGGAATCAGTCCCCACTTCCTAGTGGTTTGATAGGGGTGAATTTAGAAATTATGTAGATGAATGGGAGGAGGGAGGGCTACCTAGGACAACTCCCTGGAGGAGGTGGCAGCTGGGTCCTAGTCAGGGAAGTCTTTGTGATTTTTTTTTTTTTTTTTTGTTTTGCTTTGTTGCCCAGGTTAGAGTGAGTGCCGTGGTGTCAGCCTAGCTCACAGCAACCTCAAACTCCTGGGCTCAAGCGATCCTACTGCCTCAGCCTCCTGAGTAGCTGGGACTACAGGCATGCGCCACCATGCCCGGCCAATTTTTTCTATATATATTAGTTGGCCAATTAATTTCTTTCTATTTATAGTAGAGATGGGGTCTTGCTCAGGCTGGTTTCGAACTCCTGACCTTGAGCAATCCGCCTGCCTTGGCCTCCCAAAGTGCTAGGATTATAGGCATGAGCCACCGCCCCCGGCTGTCTTTGTGATTGAATGAAGAAATTTGGTTCATTCTCAGGGGCAGCCTCCCATCCCATCTGGCAGGAAGAGAGGTTCTAGATCCCTGTTATTAGCGTCTAGAGTTCAAGAATGGCAGAAGGTTCTTGAAGGGCCCACTCCCTGACCCCTTCCCACTCCTCATTTCCTGCTTTCAGCCCCAGGCATATATGGAGTCTGGGGTGGAGGTGGTGTCCGTGCCTCTCCTAGTCCTAGCCAGGATGGACCAGCTCCCCTCCCTCTACCCCGTCCCTTACCCCAGCAGTGTCCTCTCCTCACGAACACGCCCAAACTGCAAATCATCACCTAGGATAGGGCTGAAGCGCAGGAGACCTGGTTCAAGGCTGAGTTCTGCCTCTTCTTACTTTCTGAAATTTATTTTTAGTTTTGAGTCAGGGTCTCGCTATGTTACCCAGGCTGGTCTCAAACTCCTAGGCTCAAGCGATGCTCCAGCTCAGCCTCTGGAGTAGCTGGGGTTACAGGCACATGGCAAGCCTTGCCGGGCCTGCTTCTCATCTCCCACATCTCAGTTCTCACATCTGTGCAGTTGAGATGTGGAGATTCCCAAGCCCGGCCGCTGTGAAGTGAGATGCTGTCTGTGTAATAACAGAAGAGGGGTGTTGGAAAAGACCCCAGCCAGTATGGCCTAGCTTTCCTACGCCTGTCACATGTGTGGTCTAGCCTAGTGCTCCACCCTTGTCCTGGGGACCTGAGTGTTAGAAGTAATGGGAAATCCTGTCTCAGCCATGCAGTGTCCCCTTGGCCTAAACCATCAGTGGTCCCTGAGCCTAAACCATCAGCGGTCCTCACTCGCCTCTTCATCTAATTCCCTCCCCACCCGTGGGGTCCCCAGAGCTACTGGAACCCTGTATTTGCTGGTAAGCTGCCCAGATTGTTTCAGCTGCATGCTGCTTCTCTGTCCTCCCATCTTGCTTCCCACCAAACAAACCCCTACCCATTCAGACTTCTTCCCAGAACATACTTGATATGTCATAGAGATTTGGTTGTCCCCTGTTCCACTGTGAGCACTCCTCATACCCTCCTGTATCTGTAAGTCTGTCCAGATCTGTGAGTTTGTCTAGAACGGTGGCCCTGCTGATGATGCCAGCTTCCTGACCAGCTCATGGTCAGAAAGGCAGGTGGCGAGGGCACCAATAATGGGGGGGCGGGGGAGAGGGGGTAGGATTGGATGGTGGATGAAAGGTGGATGGAAGATTGATGGATGTAAAGATGGATGGATGGATGGTAGTGGATGTTGGGTGTATGGGAAGTGGATATGGGATGGATGGATGGGTGGATGGACAGACAGATGGATGGGTAATGAGTGATGGATAAGCCAGAAGGTAGATGAGTGGGAGAGCCTGGGCCCTGGTCCTGACTTTGCCACTAGCTTGCTATGTGGTCTTGGGCTGGTCGCTCCCCACCTCTGTTTCTTCATTTGTAAAATGAGAGGATTGGATTTAATAACTTCTACGACTCCTCCCAGATATTGGACAATTTATGATGATTGAAGGCTTTCAGGGGATGCTAGGGATGGAAAGGCCCAAGCCAGTGAAGGGGAGAAGTTCAGTGACCCATACACAGACACAGCAAATCAGCTTGGACCGTGACCGCAGGGCTGAGACTGTGTCTGCGCCTGGATTTGCTTCTGCCCCTCCCTTCTGCCTGCGCCTCCTGCCCAGAGCCACATCTGGGTTATGATTCAGACGCTTCTCTCCCAGGGGCCAGAGGAAGCGTTCCAAGGGAAGGTGTGGGGCCAGCAGGCCAGGAGCAGGCAGCCCCTGGCATCTCCCCTGCCTCAGCCAACCTGATCTTCTTACTTTCTCTCTGCCCCCTTGTCTTCTGCAGCTCCCTTGAGTCATGGCTTCTTCAAAGCTCCGAGAACCCACGGATGAGGTTTTTGGTAAGTTTTGTGCAGCTCTGTCTCTTGTCAATAGACACAGCCGTAGAGCGCTTCCTTCATAGGCCTCTAGGCATTGAGGGGGAGAGGGCGGTCCTTGGGGGCTTCAGTATGCGTGGTGGCCCTTTTGTCACCACTGTCTTAGTGGATGTGCCAGTTACAAGAGCAACAATCATGGTCCCTATTTATTAAGTGCTCATCTTATGCCAGGTACTGGGCTAAGCACCCCAGCTCACGTGCACGGTATATTCAATCCTCACGATAATGTTAAGGAGTAAGCCCATTTGTGCACAAGGAGTGTAGGTGCAGAGTGCTGCTGAGCGACTCGCTTCAAAAATCACATGGCAAGTTAGTGGTTGAGCTGGGACTAGAACCCCAGGCTGTCTGACACCCTGCCCTTAGTCACAGTGCTGCACACCTGTATACCTCAGCACTGACGACACACAGTCGCATAAATAAATAAGTGCATGGGACCTCACCCTCACAGATGTGCCCTGAAAGTAAATGTATGGCATGCACACAGCTGCAGTACCCGTGGCAGCCCGCTCACACCCGGGCGCTCACACTGGTGTGCATGCCCACCTCCTCAGTTAACGCTGGGGTGCACGCACACCGCCTGTACCATCAGTCACCCCTGCAGTCTTCTGTTGTGAGGACTGGGAAAGAGACCACCCCAGCTGGGCAGAGTTCCCAGCATGCACTGGAGTGGAAAGACTGTTTCCCAGCTGGACCTGGGGGGAGGGGGGAGGGGGGATGAGGAGGAGTCAGTGAGGAAAGGAACTGGAGAGGTGGAGACAGACAAGAAGTCGCCTGCAGGGGCTCCCGGCTCCTCCTCCCCTGCCTCCTCCCCACCTCTCCCTTCCTCCCTGTCTCCCCCTGCCCTGCCACTGCCCCTTGCCTTGGCAACACCAGGAACTGCTGCCTCTGCTTCTGGGGAAGCAACTTCCCACCTGGGTCTCTCTGGGCTCCCTCAGCCTTTAACTGCCTCAGGGGCCACCATGCCTCAGTCCCTGTCTCCACTGGGGCCTGGCCTGAGAGCTGAGTTCTCCCTGCCTCCCTAGCTCTCTCCCCACCCAAACCCTTCCTGTTTTCCTCACTGCTGAGGTAGCTAGGCACTGCGCTTCCTGATGCAAAAGGTAATTAAATATTCATGACTTCCCACTGTCCAGGGCAGGGAGAGGGAGAAAGAGGGAGAAGGGTGGGGGAGGAGGAGGCGGGAGGGAGCAAGTAAGGGCAAGAGATGGAGGAAGTTGGGGGTGTCCTGGAGAGGCTGGCCCCACCTTGCCTCAGAATCCCCCCACCCCTTAGGACTCCCTCTGCTCCCCGACTCTCCAAGGCACGATGACCATGGCAGTGATGTGGTCCCGAGTCAGGAGCACAGGGCCCTCCTCCCTGGCTCAAGTTGGCTGCCCACCAGCTGGGTGCCACAAGGGCAGAGGATGCAAGAGCATGGGCCTGGGAGCTGGGAGATTCATATGTTGTCCCTAACTCCATCTGCATCCTCGGTCCAACATTTTCTCCTGGAGCCTCAGTTTCCCCACCCATAAAATGAGAGGTTGGATTCAAAAGTTGATCCTATTTCTGCTTCAGAGGGCGTGGCATGCTTGTTGGTTAGCAGGGGAGCCAGACTGCCTGTCTGTAACTGTGGCCTGGTCTTCACCAGCTCTGTGCTCTCAGGCAAATTAAGGCTGCCCTGGGGATTCCTGGAGTCCCTTCCTGGTAGGGTAGTGGGGAGGCGCAAATGAGCTAGTAATTGTAAAGCACTTAGAACAGTGCCCGGCACAGTGAGGGCTCAATAAGGATTAGCTGTTGTTTTTCTGTGCTTCCCTTCTCAGTCCTTGCTGCTTCCAGGCAGTGCCTGGAGATTCTGTGCCAGGGGCTGGGGACAGAGGGCTAACTCCCCAGCCCCAGGGGCTGGAAACACCAATAGAGTTTCCAAGCAGGGGCTGCTAAGGGACCAGAGGAGTGGGGTCAAGCCTGGGGAACTCCTAGTATGTGCCAGGCTCTGGTAGTACGGGCTCTGGGGAGACAGCAGTGAACAAGCCAGACAAAGTCACTGCCTTCATGGAGCTTGGATTCTCGGGCAGGGGCAGGCAGGGGGACAGATGATGAAAGCACACACAACTAAACAGGGAATATATTTGATGGTGAGGTGTGCCGTGCGGAGGAGGGAAATGTGGGCCATGATGGAACTTGTAGTGACCCTTGTAGTGACCCTTGACAGCACATGTGTATGTCCCCACTGAAGCATGCATTGGCCCGTGGAAGTGTGACTTTGCTTCGGCAATGACCAAGCACCTACTCCTTGCCAGGCACAGTACCAGGCGCTTGTGCACCTCTCTTCCTCCTTAGAAAACTCTTGTTCTTTCTCCAGTGCATCTGCAGTGCATCTCTCACGATGCATAGCAGATAGGGAAGGGCAGCACCCTCTGCAGTGTGCAGGCCAGCATGGGAGGCAGTCTTATGGCAGGCCATATCGGGATTGGTGGCCATATCTGTATCATAGTGCAGAGGCCTGAAGAGGTGCAGCTGTGTGTGTGTGTATGTGTGTGTGTGTGTGTGTGTGTATGTCAGAAATGATCAGCCAGGCAAAGACGGGGTGGAGAGTGCTGGAGCAGAGAGAAGCATGAGCACAGGGATGGACATGGGACAGAGGTAGAGGCAGGTATACGCGCAGATGTTCATGCAGGTATCAGTGTAAGCAACTCGGTATTGCTCCCACTAACACCATCAACAGCCAGTGCCTGCCGAGCACTTACTAAGTCGCAGGAATTACAGTGAAACACTATGCATTATGTTCTCAACAACCCTATAAGGAAGATACTGCTATTATGGTTCTATTTTATAGACAGGAAAGCCAACACCTAAATGGAAATAACTTGCTCAGGGTCACCCAGCCAGCGAGTGGTAGAACTGGATTCAACCTGGCCATGTGGCTCCAGAGCCTGTGCTCTTGGCCACAGTGGCATGTAAGAGCATGTGAGAGGGGGAGTCTGCGGGAAACTTAGAAAGGGTCGGCTGGGCCCCCTCAGGCCTTGAATGGAGGCCGAGCAGCGTGGACTTTACATCGCTGGCTTTGGGGAACCCCCAACCCCACCACAGAGAGTTTCAAAAGCCAGAGAGTACAGGACATGGTCAGAAATGTGCTTTATTTATTTGTTTATTTTTTGGAGACAGAGTCTTACTCTGTTGCCTGGGCTAGAGTGCCGTGGCATCAGCCTAGCTCACAGCAACCTCAAACTCCTGGGCTCAAGCAATCCTACTGCCTCAGCCTCCCAAATAGCTGGGACTACAGGCATGTGCCGCCATGCCTGGCTAATTTTTTCTATATATATTTTTAGTTGTCCATATAATTTCTTTCTATTTTTAGTAGAGACAGGGTCTCACTCTTGCTCAGTCTGGTCTCGAACTCCTGACCTTGAGCGATACTCCCACCTTGGCCTCCCAGAGTGCTAGGATTACAGGTGTGAGCCAGAAATGTGCTTTAGAAAGTTTCTTCTGGTTGAGTGGAAGGTGTGAGGAGAGAACCCGACCAACAGCAGGGAGTGAGGGCAGGATAGGTGTATGTTTGGGAGGCAGGGGCTGGGAAGGGGCTGGCTGCTGGGGGCCTGAGCTGGGGCTATTCACTCCAGAGGGAGAGGAGAGGCCAGGTTCCATGGCTGCTAGGATGGCCAGTCAACAGAATTTCGCCCTTTCATTAAAGTAGTATTTACTAAGCACCTACTATGTGCCAGGCACTGTTCTAGGATGTGGTAGAGTAGTGAATAAAAGAGAGAACAACCTGTCCTCATGCAGTTGATGTTCTAATGGGTGGAGAGAGACAATAAACAAAACAGGCAGAATATACCTTATGCCAGAGAGTGATCCGTGATATAGAGAAAAATAGGAGTGGGCTTTTGGAGTGTGTGTGTGGGGTGGTTCTAAATCAGGGAGGGCCTCAGTGAGAGAAAGTGTTTAAGCAAAGACCTGAAGGGAGTGAGGGAGGGAACCATGCAGAAGTCTGTGGCAAGAGCCTTGTAGGGAGAGGGCAGAAGAAGTACAGGCTGGGCTTGTGTGATGACAAGCTGGGGGCCAGGGTGGCTGGAGTGGAGGGACAGAAGGAGAGCTCAAAGAGGCCAGGAAGCATGGACTAAGTCTGGAAGGCCACTGGGAGAACTTTGGCTCTTACTCTGCAGGAGATGGAAGTCGCCAGAAGGTTCTGAACAGAGGAGTGACAGAAGCTGACATGTTTTATTAGTGTCACTCTGGCTGCTGTGTTGAAAATAGACTGCAAATGGGAAAGGGAGGAGGAAGGAAGACCAGCAAGGAGGCTTTCTATAATAATAGAGGCAAGAGATGGTGGTGACCTAGACCAGAGAGGCTGCGAGTTCTCCCTCTCCACTCCCCTCTCCTGCCCTCCTCTCCCCTCCTCTCTCTCTCCGTATGCATGCATGTCTATGAGCGTATGTAGACACTCACACTCATGAACAATGTTTTATTGTGGAAAATCTCAAATATATTCAAAAGGAGGGAGAATAGCTCAATGCACTCTATCATGTGCTCATGTCCTTGTCACCCAACCTCAACAATGATCAAGTCGTGGCCAGTCTTGTGTCATATATATCCCCTTCCACTCTCTGCTCCTATTGCCCTGGATTATTTTGCACCTAATCTAAAACATCATATCACTTTGCCATAAATATTTCAGGATGTCTAGAGGTATTTTGAAAGTAGAGCTAACAGGAATTATGGATGAATTGGGTTGCAGGAGGGGAGGGAAAGAAGTCAAGAATGACTCCAGGGGTTTGGCCCTAGCATCTGGAACCATGGAGCTGCTGTCTGTCAAGAGGGGGGACTAGGAGGAGCAGCTCGGGGCGTGGGAGAGGTCAGGGGTTCACTTGGAGCATGCAACTTGAAGATACCCAGTGGACATACAAAGTGGAGGTGTCAACTCAGTTGGACACATGAATCACCAATTGGGACTGGGCTGAGGGAGAAGGGTAACTTGGGGCTATCTGACTTGGTGATAAGGGGACCTTTCACTGAGCCAGAAAAGAGAGGAGAAGCTTGTTTGAGGCTAGGTGATCAGTTCATTTTGCCGGGCTGAACTCGAGGTGTCTGGGGGGGCCTTTGATGTGGCAAATCTCGGGGCAGGTGCTTGAGTGCCCAGGCTCGGAATTCAGGGGAGGGGTCAGGACTGGAAACCATAGGTGGTGGTTAAGGCAGGAGAGCAACTGGGGTGGCTTAGGGGGTGTCTGCAGACAAGAGAGAGCAGCAGGCCAGGCAGGGTGGGCGTGAGTGATGGAATGGGGTCCCTGAGATCATGGGAGGTGGAGTGGGGAAGACGGGCCTTGTCCCATCCTGAGGCCTGGGAAGACTCTGTTCTGCTTGGAGACCCAGTGCCATGCCCTGTGTCGGTACAGAGTGAGGGCTTCATTCCCGGGTGGAGCATGCGAAAAGTGAAGCTGTGAGCAACAAGGGTTTTAGGCATGATCCATTGGGTTTGCCTGCTCTTCCTTCATGTCCTCATGCCGGACCTAGCACCAGGTCACAGACCTCAGGACGGGAGAGACAGGCTTCAGGGGACTGTGGGGGTCCCTCTGCTCCACTTCAACTGTGAGCTCCAGATGCTCAGCAGTGCTCTCTCTGAGTGTGACCCTGAGTGTGGCACAGCAAACCAGTGTCCCCAGCAGGGCCAGTCTGGAGCTAGACTAGCCAGGCTCAAATCCTGGACCATTGGTAGCTGGTGGCTTTAGTCAAGTCACTTACTCTCTCTGAGCCTCAGTGTGATCAGCTGTAAAATGTGCATAATAGCTGTCCTAACCCCACCAGGTCAAAACTGAGGAAGAGATGATGTATGCACATTGTCGCATAAGAGGTGCTTCTTAAACGGTAGCTGTTACGACCTCCAGCCTCATCTTTTAGTCCATCTCTCCACAAAGCTGCCCTCAACTGTCCCTGGAGGTGCCACTCCTTGCTTCCCTACTTCCTAGCATGGCGTAGGCCAGTCTCGCCAACCTCATCTCCTGTAAACTCCCACCCAGACCCTACCGCCCAGCTTTCGTGTTTCCTCCTCTGACCCCTCCAAACAGGCCTGTCCTGTCCCCCTCTGTGCGTATGTGACAGTTCATCACATCATGCTATATTGCCTCCCCCACCCCCACCCGAGAGAGACCCTGTTTATTCATCTGGAAACACTGGTTGAATGTCCCAGGTGTGGGCAAAGGTGGCCACCTGAGGTGGGCCTCTGGGAGTGCCGTCTCTCACATTTCTGGTCTGTTCCTCCTCCCCCCGGTTCACAGACCTGGACTTGGCTGTGCCAGAGACCGCCAGACTGGACAGCAGTTTACACAAGGCCCGGGCCCAGCTGCTGGCCAAGGGCCGGAGACACCGGCCGTCCCGCTCGAGGCTTCGGGACAGTGCCAGCTCTGCTGAGGACGGTGAAGGCTCCGATGGGCCCGGAGGCAAGGTTGGGGCAAGCTGTGCAAACACACATACACACCCACCCCTCCTACCCGGGCTAATCGCTCCGAACTGCCCTTCCAGGCAGCCACTGCCCAGACTTCTGGCTAGTAATGCCAACAGACATTAGTTAGCTGCAGTTCACTTCTGGCTCATCCCATCCTTTTAGGGAATGTATTATTTTCCTCATCTTACAGATGAGGAAACTGAGGCCCTGAGAGGTCCCGTAACAAAGCCACAGTTAGTAAGTGAAGGAGGTGGCATTCACCCCCAGCCCATGCGACTCAAAACCCCAGGAATTCGGGCTCCTCTCCTGGGGGACCGCAGTTTACAGGGCGAAAGGGTCTGGCCCCACCCCCGGAGCGGGAGGAGGGTTCTCGGTGAGCCGCTGCCCTCTCCTCCAGGTGACCGACGGCTGCGGGAGCCCCCTGCACCGGCTGCGCTCGCCTTTGCACTCGGGCCCGGGGTCCCCGGCCGGGGGCTCTTTCTGCCTGGAGCCTCCGGGGTTGCGGCGCAGCCAGGACGAGGACGAGCCACCGCCCTCGCCGCTCACACGCTACCGGCCGCTGCACAACGCTGCCTCGCACGAGGGCCTGGCCGCCGCCTCCTGCTCGCCGCCGCGCTCTGCGCCCTCCTCCGACAGCTCGCCCAGCTTCAGGCGCCGCCACCCGCGCGCCGAGCCGCTCAGCGAAGGTGAGCAGAGGCGCGGCCAAGCCCTCGCGGAGCGGCCGGGGCGAGGCAGCCAGGGGTGTTTGTGCAGCACACTGTCGGCCTCTGGGACACCCAAAGGAGCAAACATGCAGTCCCTGTCCTCGTGGGGCTTGCAGTTGACGGGAGAGACAATCAGATCATCCTTTAACTAGGTGTATAGTTACAAACTGTAATAAGTGCCATGCCGGAAATGGATGTGGTGGCAGCGGACGTCTATCAGGACGCCTGACCTAGCTGGGAGCATCCTGGGAGGTCTTCTCTGAGGAGGTGACATTTGAGCCAGGGTTGCAAGGCTGGTTAGAAGTTGGCCAGGATAAAATTAAGAGTAAATAGCAGGGGTCCCTGCCTTTTTGGAGTGCTTTATAGCCTGTAAAAGGCTTTCATAAGCATCCCATGAGGTCCCATGAAATAGGCAGGTGTCATTATTCCCATATTATTTGAAAGGAAGGAAGCTCACAGAGGTAAAGTGACTTGACCCAGGTCGCACAGCTAGTGGAGGGCTCCAGAGCCGGGTTGCCTGATTTTACGTCGCCCACACTAGTGAAGGAGGCAGGCAAGCCACCGCATGGGCTATTTCCTTCCTGCCCCTCCCCTGAAAGATGACAGCCGGGATGCCAGCCCTCCCGAGCCCGCCAGCCCCACCATCGGCCTGGATAAGAAGACTCGCCGAAAGTTCTTGGACCTGGGGTGAGTGGAGGTGGGACCCTTAATGCAGGGCTTGGAGTTGCTGGGGCGAGGGGTAGCACAGTGGAGCCCTGCCCCACTCCCCTCTGCCCTCCCCACAGGGTCACCCTGCGCCGAGCATCCACTGGCAAGAGCCGGAAAGAGAAGGGCAGCAACCGCCTGTCCATGGGCAGCAGGTAAGAGGCGCCCACAGCACCCCGTGGCTCCCGTGGGCCCCAGCCCTTCCCTCTGGCCCACACCCATGCCGGGCGCTCTCTCCACAGGGAGTCGGTGGAGGGGTCTGGCAGGTCAGGGGGCTCCCCGTTCCTGCCCTTTTCCTGGTTCACAGACAGCGGCAAGGGCTCGGCGTCCTCGGGCAGCACCACCTCCCCTGCCTGCTCCCCTAAACACGAGGGCTTCAGCCCTAAGAAGTCAGCTTCCCAGGTAAGTCCATGACTTTCTTGCCCCCAAACTGGTCCCTAGACCCAGGTGCCATAAGGGCATACTTCACCCTGGCTCAGGCTGGGTTCAGGCATTCCTGGAGTCCGTGAGTCCATCCACGGAGCCACTCAGTGATCCATCACTTCATCCATTTGAGTTCATTCATTCGCTCGTTCATTTGTTCATATTCTAAGTAGTTCATTCACTGCTTCGTCCATTCAGCACACATCACTGGACGCTATGGTTTTCCTGTTGTCCACACAGCCTGAGGTCTGCTCCATTCTGCTGTTCTGCCTGGCCCAGTTCTCACCCCACCCCCGCGTTAGGAGCTGGGCCACCTGCTCAGTAGGGTGAGACTTGGGAGATGTAGAGATGAACAGGACTCCAGTCTAGTGCTGTGAAAGCTCAGAAGTGAGACTGAGTACCAAGCAGCAGTGAGCATCTGCTTATGTTCAGACAGCCCTCTACAGTTTACAAAGCCCCACACGCTTGTGTTTTTGCTCCACTGTCACACAAGCTTAGTGAATCAGGGAGGAGGGCGGGCGTGCTCATCCCTGTTGTGCAGATGAGGAGTGAAGTCCCGGAAGGAAGGGACTTGCCCACAGACTCGCACAGGGTTAGTTGCAAAGCTCTGTGCCTCCCAGCCCAGTGCTTGTTCTAAGCTTCTGTTCCTTATGTGCAGCTGGGGCAGAGGAAAAAGCGGAAAGCTGGGAATCCAGGGCAGAAATAGTCCCTTCTGACTCGGGACTTCCTTCTTTTCTCCCTCCGTTTCTTCCCTTGTGCTGGGCCCTGGGGATACCACAGAAAACAAAACACAGCTGGGCCCTGTAGAGCTCATGATCCAGTGAGGACAAAGACCTCTAATCAGGCACTTCCAAGCAGGGCTGCTAGAGGCCAGGTGGGAGGCACTTATTGGGGACACCTGACCCAGCCTGGGGGAAGCCTGGAAGGCTGCCTGTAGGAAGCGACACCTAGTCTGAGACCCCCCCTCCATTTCTGCTAAGTATTCTGCCTGGCTTAGTTCTAGCCCCCTGTCCACCAGAAGGCTGCCTGCCCTCCCACAGGCCTCTGGTCCTGATGCCCCACACGAGTCACCATGTCCTGTGTGCCTGCCCAGCTCCTGGTTCATGCACAGAGGGCACTGAGCAACTCCTGGTATCTAGTCCTGGATTTCACTCTATCCAGACTGTGGTGGTGATGGGTTGGGGGAACTCCCTTGGGCTTGGGGGTGAGCTCTCACCTCAGCAGCCTGCACCTCTTCCTGCCTAGGAATCCACCCTGAGTGACGACTCCACGCCCCCCAGCAGCAGCCCCAAGATCCCGAGTGGACCCCGGCAGGAGGCCAAGTGTTCTTACCCCTACCACACGCTGTCCCAGTCTTCAGATGAGGTGAGCGGGGTTGGCCGCAGGGCCTGTTGGAGCCCTGACCTGGACTCTGCCAGGTGTGCAGGCCACAGGCCCAGCCTCCCCTTCATGCTCCTTGGTCTCCCCCAGTTCCTGGATGAACCCCTCCCCACTGTCCACCAGTGGACCAGTCAGCAGGTGGGCCAGTGGCTGCACAGCCTCAGCCTGGAGCAGTATGCTGCCGAGTTCGCCGCACGGCAGGTGGATGGGCCGCAGCTGCTGCAGCTGGACGGAAGCAAACTGAAGGTGTGTCAGGGTGGAAGGTCCATGACCCTGCTGGTGCTTGGGGCAAATTTCAAGGATGGGGAGTCCCTCATCCTGACCTTTGACCTTTAGTTCAGCCTCCTGGGCTGACCTTCTCACACCATCTGTGGCCACTGCCATGACCTCCAACCCCTAGGCAAGGTCCTTGGTCTAGTCTAGTGTTTGTGGTGTAACATGGGTCCCCAGTTTGACCTTCAAGCTCCAGCCCAAGTCTCCAGGCTGACTTTGCCCTCTAGGACTGTCATCTGACCCTTGATGCTTATGAGTTTCCTGGTATTATGGGAAACCAGGAGTTGCCCTGGTCAACTCTTGATTCTATCTTGGAGGCTGGTGGTAAAGGCGGAGGGGAGGCTGGTGGTAGTGAGGGAGGAGATGGGTGGCTTCTGTTCCCTGCTGGGAGGCTCCTGGCCTGTCTCCTGCTGTCTGCTGAGTTGCTTGGGGGAAAGGGTGGTGGTGGTGAGTCCCCAGGAAGTCTCAGGAAGTGGGGAGGGGCCCTGGCCACTGACTAGCTGTGTGACCTTAGGCCTCCCCGTCTCTGGGCCTCTGGAGGTTGGCAGGGTCGTGCCAAGGCTGAAAGCCCGAGTAGAGGTCTGGGAGCCCCAGCCCTCCCCTCCCCCCACCACTCCCTTCCAAATTCTTGCCCTGAGGGTTGTGGTCCCTGGCCAGTCCATGGAGGTGGAGGCTCCACTTCAGGGAGGACTCACAGGGCTCCACGGATTGCACACGTGGGGCAGGAAGAGCCTGCTGGCCAGGACCGGGCTGGGCACTTCTCCCTTACCCCTGGATTCCTCCCCAGAGCCTGGGGCTCAGCAACTCGCACGACCGCGCGCTGGTGAAGCGGAAGCTGAAGGAGCTGGCGGCGGCAGCCGAGAAGGAGCGCAAGGCCCAGGAGAAGGCTGCGCGCCAGCGGGAGAAGCTCCGGCGCCGGGAGCAGGAGGCCCAGAAGAGCTAGGGGTCCGGTGGGGCAGGCGCTGGCGCCAGGCACAGGCCTCCCGGTGGAGGCTGGAGCCAGGGGCACACTTGGGCTGGTCTGGCCCCACACTCTTGGGGGACACGCCCTCTCTCACCCTATCACTCTGTTTGGATCCAGAGCCCCCAGAAAGGGAGACCCAGGGAGAAGGCCTAGTAATAAATCCATGTGGAGGACGTACTTGGCACAGAGTGCATGGGGGAGGAGGCAGATGAAGGGAGAGGGCAGAGAGGCCAGGGCTGAAGCGGTGGGAGCCCAGAGGGGCCTGGGCCAGGCTGACCCTCTGCCCTCAGGCCAGGCTGGGGCTAAGTGAGCTGGGATGCCCACCTGCCTGCCTGCGGCCCTGAGACCACCGCCCCAGGGCTCAGAGAGGGGGCTGACCATCTCAGCAGCAGTAGGTGGGCAGAGCTGTTCCCCTCCAGCTCTCCGAGGCGGCTGTGGTGGGGAGCTCTGTCCTGCTCCCCAGGGAGGCCAGTGGGCACCGCAGCAAGTCGCACTCAGGGTAGACTCCCAGCCAAACTCAATAGGAGAGCAGAGAACACAGCACAGGATAAGCATGATCTTTGAAGGACTTCAGGAGAAGGAAGGGACAATGACACCCCCTCCTTCCTTCCTCCGCACTGTCCTGTGGGTCTCGGTGGGTGCGAGATGACATCCACGCAGGTCAGTGCCTCTCGGGGCCCAATTAAGGCCTGGTCTTTGACCCATTCTCCAAGCCAGAACCCACTTCTCCTCCTGCTGCTCCCTAAGAGGGTGCCTGCACCCTGTCTGGGGGCACAGCAAACTCTCGGGAGCTGCCGGGAATGAGGACACCCCCCACCAAGACCTAGGCGGTACTGAACTAGTGAACCCTCACCCCGGCCAGGCAGAGGAGCAATGTCTGGGGGTCCTTGGAAGCTACTGGGTTGGAAGGTTTCATCAGCCCTCCATCTACCCCGGTCATTGCCGGGGCCTCAGCGGGCTCCAGAACTGGCAGACAGTGCAGGCTCCGGTTCTCTGGGCCACAAAGAAGGCTGAGGCAGCTCCCTTGGTAGGTGGTGGTGGGGTGGAGTCTTTCTGCAGCCTGGGGATGGCATCTGTCCTTTTAAGGAAATGTCAGGTGCAGTGCTGGCCAGCAGCCAGCCCAGCTTCCAGAGCACTGGTCAGAGTTACCAATGGGGCCAGGGGGCTTCTGATTAGAGTCCCCCCTCCACCTCGAACCTGCCTGGAGGGTGGGCAGGACCCAATGCATGCTGACTCCCCCAGTCCTGCCCAGGGGCTGTGGCTTATGGCCAGGGTGCTGGCCCTGGGACTCAGCCCTTTCCTCCCCTCTGCCATCTTTGCCGGGAGAGGGGCTTCAGAGGGATACTGAGATATGGGGACACTGGCACACCTGGGCCTGGTAGAGGGGCCACTGGGAGGTTGGAGGCACCCTTGTCCTTGAAGCCATCCAGAGCTCTAGTAGGTGCTCACCTGCATGTGAAGGGGGGAGGCGGTTCTCAATTTATTTCAATAAACACTATGATGTGCCAGTGACCTTTCTGTCTGCTCAGTTGGGGGACCAGGCTGGGTTATAGGGACCATGCTGTGCCCTGAGTGTGGTGCAGTGAAAGGTCTATCCCTGGGTGATGGGCTGTCGGGTGTTCTGAATGGACGGCTTTGCCTGGCGTTTACTCACAGTGCACACTGGGTCAGGCCCTGAGCTGGCCTGGACATCCCGAGTGCATCATGTGTTGGTCACAGGGTACCTTGGTCTCTGTGTGTGTTCCCCTCCCCCCAGGAATGCAGCCCAGCCACAGACTCATTCAATCTCCTCTTTACTGTGGATGCTACTGTCACCATCACAGCCACTGGGAGGGGCACACAGCTTTAACCCCCCGTGTGCTAAGGGGAGGGTGGGCATTCAGGGCTATAAAACTAGCTATATATATACATAGAGTGTTCTAGGGAGAAAGCCACACTGAGCACCCATGTCCGGGCACAGTGGGGGGTGGGTCTGGAGCTCAGGCGGGATCAAGTGGGTGTGTGCACATAAGGACATGCTGGGGAGGGGCACTGGCGGTGGCATGAACACTGCCAAGGCTGCCTGCAGGGCCTCAAGCAGCTTGGCTGGGTGGGTGACCTCTGGGTCTTCCCAGGTTCTTCCACATTAGGGTGGACCCCGGGTGGGAAATCCCCCCACCCAACCTTGACCTTAAAGCCCAGAGTGGAGGGAGAGGTGGCAGGACCAGGTCTCTGACAGGTGTCCAGTGTGCATCCCCTCGCCACTCGCTCCCCGGATCTGGGGGCACCAGCTGGCCCCTTCCCAACACTGATTACGGACTAGGGCAGGACACTAGCGTGGGCTTGAGGGATAAGGCAAGTGGGGGACATCCACCCGGACGGCCAGGGCTGTGGAGGGTGGTGAGGGAGACCCAGGACCTCTGTCAGCGAGGTGACAGCTCTGGTCTCAGAGAGGAAGACTGCATGGAAAAATATCCCTGGGATACCCCGTCAAGTGGGGAGACATCCCCAATCCTCATGTATCACCCACAGACACTGGACATCTGGGAGACCACCAAGGGGCCTCCATGGAGACAGATTGGCACTTAGGGACCACCACGGACCAGCTGCCGCGGTGATTTCCGGGGAGACAGAAGCTGGTCATCAGGGAGAACCCACCCCTGGGGGTGGGGAGGGTCACTGTGGTGGCTGGGCCCAGAGGCAGCAGGCCACCCTGTCAGGTGTAGATGAGTGGTGGCCCCTAGCTGACACGGTAGGTGGATGTGTTCTTGGGCTCTGTGCTGGGCACACACCAGTCGCCAGCTTCCTGGATGGTCTGGTAGTGGCGCCAGGCTGACTTGTTGTAGACGGGCAGGCGCTCCACTGAGTCCGTGGACAGGGCCTGGGGAGGGGCAGAGTCAGCCTCTCCCCGTCCCTGCACCTGGCCCACCCTTCAGCAGAGCACCCTCTTCCCAGGGTGGGCTGTGCTGGCCCCTGACGCACATGTCCCGCCCCAAGTTGGAGTTAGCCCAACCACCAGTCACTGGCTGAGACCACTGTCCCGGGCTTGGAAAGACCTGTGGAAGGGTCTTTTCCTTCTGTGTCCTGCTCAGGTCCATTCAAGAGTGCTGTTCCCCCAAGGGTCAGGGAGGGAGAGGGAAAAGGCTGGGCTGTGTGACCCCTACAAGGTGACCAGCACTGGATCTCCGTCTTCCCCTCTGAGGGGAATGACAAGACCTGTGGTCCCACCACTTCCTTCTGGGTCTAACAAGGGAAGGGTGCCTGAACAGGGTCTTAATCATGGACCACGGACCCCCTGACATTCCTTGCCAAGTTGTACATGTCTGGGGGGTGGGGTTACTCGGGCTAAGGACCTGTAGCTTTGCTCTGGTTCTCAGAGTCTGGAGCCTGGGCAGACTGGAGGGGTGGACAGGAAACCTAGCAGCAGGCCAATCCTGCCGGGGCCCGTCGGCAAAGCCCCCCTCCGGCTGGCCGGGCTCTCAGGCAGGGCCCTCACCTTGAGATAGATGACAGCATCAGTCCCAAAGCCCTCCATGGAGAAGAGCTGCAGGTCTCCCTGGAAGTACTTGGCGTAGAGGCGGGAAATGGGGAGCCCGTAACCAAAGCCAGCCTGCGGGGGCGGGGGGGTTGCGGTAAGGAGGCTGGGCCTGCTGGAGCAGCAGGGATGATGGGATAAGGGAAGGGTACAGGGCTAGGGCGTGCAGAGGGCTCCCACAGCTAGGGTGGGGAAGGGACAGGAGAGGCTGTGAGGCCAACATGGGGTGTGGGATGGACGAAGGAGTCAGAGAGGGAGGAAGAAGGGCTGGGCAGGGAGAGGAGGTCTGCGTAGGTCCCAGGGTTCCACTGAGGTTCAAGTTCCTGAACAGGGTGGTGCTAGCTAGCAGCACAAGGCCAGGAGAGAGGCAGCAATAGGGGGTGGCGGGGGACAGAGTGGAGAGGGAGGTGGCAGAGAGACACCTGACAGGTAGGTAGGTGTGTGCAGGCTGGGGAGACACGGGAGGAACAGGGGGCCCAGGCTTAAGGGAGATAACTGACACCACACACAGCACACAGGAGCGGAGGGAATGTGGACATGGGGAAGCGAGAGGTGAAAAGAGACAGCATCCTTCAGAGGTGGGCGGAGCACAGAGCAAAGCCATCTCACCAGTGGGGTTCCCCCGGTGCCAGGCTGGGGCGTGGGTGCTGTGGAGTACATGTAGCTGAAGAGTCGCTCAATCTTCCTCAAGGGGACACCCCCACCTCGGTCACTCATCTGGGGGAGATGGGCTGTGTCAGGGACCCCCCAGAGCTCAGTTTCCCTCCCACATCCACCCCTGACCTCCTGGCCTTCCCCACCCCAGGATCTGCCCACCACATGGGAGAAAAGGAGAGCTCACCCCTGGCAGGAGGGAAGGCCCCACCCCCAGTGCTCTCTGATTTTCAAGGCCAAGGCTCACATACTTTGATGGACAGATCTTCCTCGCCCAAGGCCACCATGACCTTGATGGGTGGGAGAACAAGGCTGGATTCGTGGCTTTCCACTGTGGCTCGCATGGCATTCTGCAGAGGAGAGAGGTCAGAGATGCAGGGGAGCAGCCGGCCCTGACCATGCTCCCTCCAGGGACAGCCCCCGGCCTGCTCACCTTGAAGAGCTCAAAAAGCATGTGGTAGAGGTGGGAGGGGACATAGACCATGTGAATCGGCTGTTTGGAGTTGGCTGCTGCAGGGAAAGTCAAGACCAAAGGTCAGGGAATTGTCAAGAGGTCACCACTCAACCACCTTACCCAAAGCAAGACCCTCACACATTCTTCCTTTCTTCTTTTACTAAAATATACCCCCTGCCCCAAAGTTTTAACTGGGCACATGGCCACCCAGTTAGAGACTAAATCTCTGTCTTCTCCTGAGCTGGCGCAGCCAGGTCACTCCTGGCAGGGAGGTGTTCGACCCCTGGGCCCTGCTCTCCAGCCCTCCTTGCCTTCCTCCAGGCTGGAACTGGGACCCGGGGGCAGGCAGCCAGTTGGGGCAGGGGCCAGTAGGAAGGAAACCTTCTTTTTTTTTTTTTTTTTTTTGAGACAGAGTCTCGCTTTGTTGTCCAGGCTAGAGTGAGTGCCATGGCGTCAGCCTAGCTCACAGCAACCTCAAACTCCTGGGCTCAAACGATCCTGCTGCCTCAGCCTCCCGAGTAGCTGGGACTACAGGCATGCGCCACCATGCCCGGCTAATTTTTTCTATATATATTAGTTGGACAATTAATTTCTTTCTGTTTATAGTAGAGACGGGGTCTCGCTCTTGCTCAGGCTGGTTTCGAACTCCTGACCTCGAGCAATCCGCCCGCCTCGGCCTCCCAGAGTGCTAGGATTACAGGCGTGAGCCACCGCGCCCGGTCTGAAACCTTCTTGAGAAAGCCATTGGCACTGGGGTTCTGGGAAGGCAGCCAGGCTAACACATCATTCATTGCAGTACCCTGTTTGATTTCCTTCCTGTCATTTATCATGATCTGAAATTATCTGTATTTACTCGTTTCTTGGTTAAAGGTCCCATTCCCCCACCTCCTCAGCACCAAGAACATGAGGGACCTTGCCTGTCTTCTTGTTTACAGGGACCTTGCCTGTCTTCTTGTTTACAGTTTTCTAAATATTTATCAAATGAATTAACAAAAATAATATAATAATAGCTCTGCTTCTCCCCGTCTAGGAAACTATCTGCTTCTTGCTCTCCATCTCACCATGCTGTCCTATGTCCCTAGCCCTGAGATACCCACACAGCCTCGAGCTCACCATTGATCTCCTGGATCTCTAGGTCAGGTGAGGCCATGTAATACTTGTCGCACAGAAGCTTGGCCATGTCGTAGGCATCTGAGAGAAGAAGGGCCAGTCAGGCATGGGGTGGCCCACAGTGGGCAGTGTTCTTGACGCTGACCCTGGGCGTCACCAGCGTTAAACCCACGGGGCTGTGGCCCACTCACTGGGGAATGGGTCATCCCTGGCCATGTGAGCTTGGGAAGGTCCCTGGGGCTCTGCTGTGGGCCAGGCACAGCAGGGACGGCTCACCTTTGATCACCTCGGAGACGTTGCAGTTGGGGTCGATGCTGCCGATGTGTTTGGGGTGGGCCGGGTTGGTGCTACCGTCAAAGATGAGGGCTGTGGGGGGTAGGGAGGGTGCTTCAGGTTGGGCTACCGAGCCTGCCCCTAGCACCCCATCTTCCCCCAGGGCTCCCCTACTCCCTACCTGCACCACTAATGCCTCTGTGGGCTCTAGTCCTAAAGCTGCACCCCTCTCTCCTGCTCTGTCTTCCCTGATCCCTGACCCTTCTACCCCAGGCTCAGGCCAGTTTTTGACCTTCGCAGGCCTGGAGCATTCTTCACCCTCACACCACACCCCACATCACATTTATTCTTGTCTTTTGCTGTAACATGATAACTTTTATCAACCTGCTTTTGGAATTATTTGAGCATGAGGAACTGGTTTCATTTACAACTGGCTATAATTTCTCAATAATCACAGTGACTCCTCCTGGGATAAGAAACTCTAAACAAACTGATTTTGAATGTAATG